CCACCCGGCCGGCGGAGGCGGCTGGTGCCGCCACTGCCACACGAAGCTCGTGGAGCTCAAGCGACAGGCATGGAAGCTGGTCAGCGGGCCCGGGACGCCTCTCCGGGTAAGTGATCTCACTCAGACCCGGCCCTCCAGGCAGGGCCACTCTGCAGCTGGGGAGACCTCGGGACTTGGCCGGAGGCGCATTCCACTCCAGCCCTGCTGCAACAGGGCTCTTCTCCTCTGTGGGCCTCAGTTTCCCCGTCTGTTACGTGTGTGAGTTGGAACAGCTTATCCTAAGGGGTTCTGCTGTGGAATGGGAAGGGGTGTGTTGGCATTTCTCCCCCAGGCAGGTGGCTCACAGCTGGAACACAGGTAGGCATGGGAGGGGAAAGGGAGCCAACCGATGGCAGGGACTCCACCCAGGGGGAGGCGGCTCCTGCCCTGCCGGCATCCAGAGGTTATCTGGTTCCTTGTGGCCCTTCGGGAACCTGGGCCCCCAGCCAGGCATCTGGAAATTGCACACCTGGGGCATGGAGGGTGAGAGAGTGGATGCCCTCCCAGCAGCTGGGTGGGGGATCCCTGCCTGCCTTCTCCAAGTGTGGTGGATAAGAACTGTCGTCTCACACATCCCGCAATCACCCCAGGCAGGGGCCACCTGTCTGCGAACTGGCTTGGTGGGCCTCTGGGCTCCCCAGGTTCCAGCCCTACCTGCAGGTGTGGGCTGGGAGAGGGTTCTGCTGGGTCTTCCAGCGAATGGGCTGGCCCTGGTCTTGGAAGGAGCAGGGACCATTGTTCCAGAACAATGCACACTGGAAGTTTGCAGAGGCTGGGGAGGTGGGGGTCTCCAGAGGAAGCCGCCTGCCTGACCTTAAGCCTTTTTGAAAGAGTTCCTGGGAAGTCCACATAATCCCCATTGAATCTAAATATAGTTGTCCAAGGAGGGCTGGGGCTGGGGGTGGGGTGAGACCCTGAGTTCCCTGTCTGGGGCAGAGCAGAGGGGAACGACGTGCCAGGCGGGTTTCTGCTCTGGGCTCCCTCTCCAGGCCTTGGGAACCTCGACTGGGGTTGAGGTGCCACAGCTTCTCTTTGTGGCTGGGAGAGGACCCATGGGCATCTGCTGCTCTGGGAAGGCTGCAGCTTTTGTCAGGCTCTGTGCCCCAGACCACCTGTGTCTAGTTTACAAGATGGCAGAGGACCCTGGCAGGCCTCTCGGAGAGGGCGATTTGGGACAGATCACCTGAGGGCTGGCCAGAGCTACAGGGTCATCTTGCTTCCCCACTAAGGGAAACAGTTCAGAGACAGGAGGGATGTGTGTGGCCCAGTTGGCCTCCCCACTCTTGGAGTGGGCCTTGGTTGGGGACACTGACAGTCCCCAGGCTGTGGTCCTACCCTAGACCAGATGAGAAGAGGAGGCCACTGGTGGCAGGCAGGCCTGGGGGGGCGGGGGTCCCATGTAGAGAGCTGCAGGTCACGTCAGTTCCTGGAGGGTTTGAGGCTCCTTATGGGGGGGAAGATGTCAGTGATCTCTTCCCACAAACAGCTCAGCCTAGAAGCCCCTAGCTACTCATCTCTGGCCTCCCTGAGTTTGGCCTTTGACACTGTCTACTCATCAGTGCCAAGTGGGGGCTTACCCCATTCCCGGCTGCCCCTGACACTCGGCAGACCAGGGTCCTGGTGGGGAATGTGGGCTAGGGCTTTGTTCTGCTCTGGGGGTTCCTGTCCCCTGCTGTGTGTGTTCTCCAGGAACTGACGTGACCTGCAGCTCTCCTTTGTCACATGGGCCCAACCTGTAGGGTGCTGTGCCTGAGGGGAGGGGGGTCTCATTGCTCATTGTTTCTCCACAGAGTCTGGGGGCTTCTCTCTGAGCTGAGGCCTCACTGTCTTGTTGCCTATGTGGCCTATGACTCCCCCCACCCTCAGCTGAGCCTCTGCCTACAGCCCTACCCTGCCTTCCCCAGAGCTTCCTTCAGGGATGTGGAGGTGGTGGCTGGGTTGTGGTGGGTGGTGGTGGTGCTTCTGCTTCTGGTTTGGAGGGAGATCTCTTCGGGGCTGAGGGGACCCGACTGTGGGCGAGCCCCAGTGGATGCTCCTTGGAGCCCGGCACACTATCTGGGACTGTGGACTTTGCTCTCCAAGGCCAGGGTGACACTGGGGCTTAGGGTTAGTGTTCTCGGATTTTCCCCAGGTGTCTGTTTCTTGTTTTATATCATGGGGAGATGAGCTTCCTTGAGGACAGCACTTGACAGTTTGTAGACAATTTTGGTTTGCCTCCATTTGCCTGTCTCACGCTTGGCTCTACTGAGTTCAAGAGATGCAGGTGACTTGTTGGACTCCCACAGGGGGTCCGGGGCTGGGGCTGGGACCCCTGATTGGCCTCAGAGACCCTCACCTTGGGGCTCCTTGTTGGAGAGATGGTTTAGAGAGTCTAGGGCTACCCTGGTGGGTCACCTCAAACTTGGTCCTTAAACCAGCCTGTGGCCACCCCACACTCTGTTCCCAGGGTCCCTGTTAGGGCTGTCCTATTCTACTGCCAGTTGACAGCTCCCTATGGTGGGGCCTCGAGTGGGTTCCTGGAGACCTCTTGGCTTTGGTGTCCTCCTCTGGATCAGGGGACCACCTTGGTATCCATCTCTCAGGTTTATGGATCAGGGACCAGGTGGGGCACACTCTCAGCCCGTAACTGCTGTGCTGCTGTTAGCTGAGGAGGGCAGGAGGCTCTTGCTGGGTCTGGGGCTTTGCGTGCCTGTCGAGGGTTGGATGTGGTGGCTGGAGCCTGGCTGGCCATCCAGTGGCCTGGGTCTTAGGCCTGCTTCTCTTGTGCTGCCCTGCATGCTCATCTCCCAGAGCCTGTCTCAGTTTCCTTGTCTGGGCAGCGAGGGCGACCATGGTCCTCCTGGGGCTATCCAGTGCCCTTCACCTCTTTCTGAGCCCCAGTGCCCCATCTTGGCCAGGGGGGAGGGCATGTGTTGGGCCTGGGTGTGGGGGGATATCCCAGTGGGGCCTCTGGCTGTGCCCCTGCTCTGCACCGTGCCTCCACTGTGCCACTCTCTGCTCTCACCGGAGTCCCCAGGCCTTGCTTCTCAGGTGATGGTTTCGGGGCCCTGTGATCTGGAGCCATGCTCTGTGGACTGGCTCGTGGCCTCCATGGACCCTTTTTTTCCTGGTAGCCCCACCAACTCTGCCCCTAGAGACTGTCCTCCTCCCCAGCCTCCCAGTCTCTCTGGCATGAGGCCCTGAAGTTTCCCCTTCCTAGGTATTCCCCTCAACTCTGAGATGCCCCTGTGGGGGCTCACAGCCCAGCGCCTTCTACTCAGTAGAAGGGCTGAAGGCAGGCCTGTCCTCTTCCTGCCTCCTTGTCCCTGTTCTCAGCCATCACCATGAACTGGTCACAAGACCCCTTTCTTCGTCCCCCACCCCAGTCCAGGGTGCCACTCTAGGTGGTAGCTCTGCCAGGTCAGAAATGGGTTCCTGGTCACTGGGAGATGTTTGCTGAATGACTGAGTGACCAGACTTTTCCTCCTGTTCCCTGCTGGTGGTCGCCCCAAGAGCTGCTGGGGCTGGATTCTGGCTCTTTGTCCCACAAAGTCATGGCCCCCTCCCCCACGAAGGAACATTTTCTGCTTTGGGAGGGGCATCCTGCTTGGAGATCCCTTCCAGCTGCTGCCCAGATGTGTCACGAGGAGGTGGTGACTCCCCTGGAGACCAGGTGACATTCGAAGTGTCAGTACTGGCACTGAATTGATTATCACTCCTGCTGGAAAAATGATCGATTCTTATTTAGCTTTTGTAGCTCTCTGGCTCACCCAGGCAGGGGTTCCTCTCCAGAACCACTATCAGTGTCCACCCATCCATGCTGGGCTGGACAGTGACCCTGGCTCCCATCCCCATGCAGCTCCTGGTGTTGAGCCCTGGTTGCAGGCATCTCTGGATGCTGGGAGTCGACTCTCGTGGGTGTGGGTGAGAGCCCGAGTCCTCCTGCCCATCCGTGGCCTGGCTGGTGTCTGCTTGTCCCAGGAGCCTCTTGGCAACCCGTCAGTGTCGCCCTTCCTTACCCTCTCATGTGACTTGAGGTTGGGGTGGGGTCCTGCCAGCTCTGTCACTTCTCCTAGGAAACCCTCTTGGCTCCTGGATGGGCCGTTCTGAGGGCACAGATTGTGGGGTCTGGGTCTATCACCCCCAAGTTGGCTGTGATGGTGGCGGCTGAGCCTGACTTGTTGATAATGGAAGTTTACTACCTGGGGTGAGAGTCTCTGGACCCCCAGGCTGTCGCCCCACTTCCCCACGCCACTGCTGGAGCCTGGCCTGAGGTCCATCCACCGCTGGGCCACCTCTGTGTGGGGCAGTGGTGTGCACCTCAGGTCTCCTCAGGGTGGGGCACCTGGTGTCAGCAGTATTCCCAGCTGAGCCCAGGAGGCAGCCAGGGGAGGTACGGGGGGCGGGGCTCCCTGGGCCTGGCCCACACCCAGGTGTTCTCCCAGCTGGCAGGGCATGAGGTGACTCAGCGGGGACGGGACCTGCTGTGAGCTGGAGGCAGGGAGTGGAGGGCTCAGATCACCTGCTCAGGGGCTGGAGGGGGCCTGTTCAGGCTGGCCGCACCATGCAGCCTCTGTGAGACCTGGGTGGGCTCCCTTCTCCCCGGCGGGTGGTGTCCCCAGGGGGTGGCGGTGTCCCCGGGGACTCTCTTGGGCTTGGTAGGTGGTGGCACCGGGGCCCGTCCTTGTGGCTGTCTTACCTCTTTTGTGGGTCTGAGGTTTCAGGGACTGGGGTGGGGGGGTTTGAGCTTTAGGGATGTGAAGTGCTGTCCCCTGGATGTCAGCCAGAAGCAGGCAGAGGACTGGCAGCTGGCGGGTCCCAGCACAAGCTTTGTGTGTTGGGGGAGGGGGCTTACTCCAGGGGAGGCTGCTGGTGGCTCTAGCCTCACGATCGCTCTACTGAGAGGTGATAGACAGGGAAGGAGAGAGACTGCAAGTCATCCCTGAACCTTGAGCTCCTCAGAGGCTTGCTGGAGGGGCTTGTGGTAGTTTGAAGTGGAGTAGTGGAATGGATCCAGGCCTTCCCCAGGCTCCCTGGAGTGTCCTGGAAGGATTTTATACTCGAGAGTCAGAAGAACTGGTTCCTCCC